GGCCAAAATGTGGAACCATCGATGCTAGGGAAGAGAATGAGGGAACTAGCGAGCAGAAACTAACCAGCTCAGGAATGGAAGTTCACAACGTACGAATATCTAATTAAATGTAAATGGGGTAGATTTGGTCTTTTCACATAATCCCATACTTCTTGGAGGCTTTGTTCATTTCTTTTTACTCTTTTTTCTCCACACTTCTCTTCTCGCTTCATTTAATTCATTTGGTCTACAATCACTGATAATCTTTCTTCCAGTTGATCAAGTCAGTTACTGAAGCTTGTGCATTTGTCACGTAGTTCTCATGTTGTGGTTTTCATCTCTATCAGTTCTTTTAAGATCTTCTCTGCATTGATTATTCTAGTTATCCATTCATCCATCCTTTTTTCAAGGTTTTTAGTTTCTTTGCGCTGGTTATGTAGTTCCTCCTTTAGCTCTGAGAAGTTTGATCGACTGAAGCCTTCTTCTCTCAACTCATCAAAGTCATTCTCTGTCCAGCTTTGTTCTGTTGATGGCAATGAGCTGCATTACTTTGGATGGGGAGATGTGCTCTGATTTTTTGAATTTCCAGCTTTTCTGCCCTGCTTTTTCCCCATCTTTGTGGTTTTATCTGCCTTTGATCTTTGATGATGGTGATGTACTTATGGGGTTTTGGTGTGGGTGTCCTTTCTGTTTGTTAGTTTTCCTTCTAACAGTCAGGACCCTCAGCTGTAAGTCTGCTGGAGTTTGCTTGAGGTCCACACCAGACCCTGTTTGCCTGGGTATCAGCAGCAGAGGCTGCAGAAGATAGAATATTGCTGAACAGCGAGTGTTGCTGTCTGATTCTTGCTCTGGAAGCTTCGTCTCAGGGGTGTACCCCACCGTGTGAGGTGTGGGATGTCAGTCTGCACCTAGTGGGGGATGTCTCCCAGTTAGGCTACTCAGGGGTCAGGGACCCACTTGAGCAGGCAGTCTGTCTGTTCTCAGATCTCAAACTCCATGCTGGGAGATCCACTGCTCTCTTCAAAGCTGTCATACAGGGGCATTTACCTCTGCCGAAGTTTCTGCTGCTTTTTGTTTAGCTATGCCCTATCCCCAGAGGAGGAGTCTACAGAGGGAGGCAGTCCTCCTTGAGCTGCAGTGGGCTCCACCCAATTCAAGCTTCCCGATGGCTTTGTTTACCCACTTAAGCTTCAGCAATGGTGGGTGCCCCTCCCCCAGTCTCGCTGCCACCTTGCAGTTAGATCTCAGACTGCTGTGCAAGCAATGAGGGAGGTTCCGTGGGCATGGGACCCTTCGGGCCAGGTGTGGGATATAATCTCCTGGTGTGCTGTTTGCTAAGACCCTTGGTAAAGCACAGTATTAGGGTGGGAGTTACCCGATTTTCCAGATGTTGTCTGTCTCAGTTTCCCTTGGCTAGGAAAAGGGATTCCCTTCCCCCTTGCGCTTCCCAGGTGAGGTGATGCCTCACCTTGCTTCAGTTCTCGCTGGTCGGGCTGCACCAGCTGACTAGCACCGATTGTCCGGCACTCCCCAGTGAGATGAACCCGGTACCTCAGTTGAAAATGCAGAAATCACCCATCTTCTGTGTCACTCACACTGGGAGCTGGAGGCTGGAGCTGTTCCTATTCGGCCATCTTGGGTGTGCCCCAGTTTTGTTCTTTTTTATACAAATAGGTTATCCCTTCTCATTTCATTCTTTTTCTTGACAAAAATGTAATTTTCTACATTTTTATTCCTTTTCTTTACACGATGAAAAAATTCTAGGCAGGTCATTATGGAAATGTTTTTGAATTTTTTAAATAAACTTTTTACTTTGGAATAATTTTAGATTCACAGAAAAGTTGCAAAGAGAATACAGAGATCCTTGTATATTCCTCACTGAGCGTCCCCTAATGTTAACCCTTTATACTACTGAGGTACATTTATCAAAGCTAAGAAAACAACATTGGTATATTACTATTAATAAAACTCCAGACTGTATTCAGAGTTCACTAATTTTTCCACTAATATCCTTTTTTCTCTTCCAAGATTAAATACAAGGTAGCACATTGCATTTACACATCACATCTCCTTAATCTTCTCTAGTTTGTGACAGTTCCTTAGTCTTGTTTTCATGACCTTGACAATTTTGAAGAGTATTGATCAGCTACTTTGTAAAATCTCCCTTAATTTGGGTTTGTCTGATGCTTTCCTCCTGATTAGACTGGAATTATAAGTTTTGGGGAAGAACACCACAGAAGTGAAGCCCCTTCTTCTCACATCCTGTCAGGGTGTATGTGTTGTCAACATGACTTATCACTGGTGGTATTAATCTTGATCACTTGATCCAGGTAGTCTTTGACAGACCTCTACACCATAAACTTAACCCTTCTTCTGTACACTCTATTCTTTGCAAACAGGTCCATGTTCAAGGGAGGGAAGGTGGGTTGGGGGAGGGCATTAAAGACTATCTTCTGGATGGCAGTGTGCACAAATTATTTAGAATCCTATGGGGAAGATTTTTCTCTTATTCATTTATTTATTTACTCCTCCATGTATTTATAGCAATAAGAGCTCACATGTATTTACTTTATACTCTGGGTTATAATCCAATACTGTTATTTATTCTGTTGCTCAAAGACCTTTGACAGTCTTTTTTAATATGTGCATTATTAGGGTCTCTCACTTATCAAAGAGGGTTCTGTCTTATTAGCCCAGTGCCATTATCATTGTTTGGCCAGGGACAGCGAAGGCTCCTGTCACATCCTCATGTTACAAATAGTTAAAGATATTTTTCTCTATGTGCTCAATAATTTACCAAAGTCAGTCCCATCTCCCTTATTCAAGACCACTGGTGAAGGATCCAGACCATGATCTGGGTTCCTAAGGCTGCTTCTGAAAAGCAAAAATGTAGTGAAAGCTATAAGGAGCCAGGGCCCTGACATTTCAGCACTTCAAACTGATCTTCGGGAATGCAGGGGCGAATGGGGGAAATACATTCTCATGAGATTCCACTGACTGTTCCCTTGAGTTCTTTGATTTCAGTACCAGTTGGAGGCTTAAGACAGGTGATGTATTTGGTCCAGAGTGAGGTTAGTTGAGAAGGAAATGAAAACAGAGGTTTAACAGGAAGATTAGTGGACTTTCTACCTCTGGGCAATAAATGTCTGCTTTGGTCCTCACTAATCAGTTTTCCACATGCCTCATGCCATTTGCTTTACTTAGGATGAGTTCTTAGAGCTCCATTAGGAAGTGTTAAAATCACTGTTTTAAACTGGCTGTTTTTGTCAATGCCCCCCTTTTAACCCACTTCTTTTTTTTCTAAATGTATGCACGTAGAGGGCTGGTCAAGGGGGAAATTATGCCGATTAGGAAGCAAGGTCCATGATGGAGAAACTGCCTTAGTGTCTGAATATTTAACTCCAGGATAGAGAGGCCCCTTTAACACTTGCATAGAGCATACACACATTTCACAGCCCATAGCTCAGGGCAAAGAGAATGGGCATCTGATAAATTTGCATGTAAAAAACTATTGAAGTCAGCTAAACAATAATACATCTCTTGACAGGAAGGAGAAACGGTGTGGTTTTCTTAAGTCTGTAATATTTGGAAAACATCTACTAATTTTAAGAACATAGAATTGAGATTTGAGAAAAGTAGAGCATAAATAGTTCTTGGTTGTCTCCTTTCACACCTGTAACCTCTTTTCTTCCTCTCTCTTCCACTCTCACCTGAACCTTAGTTTTCTCATCCACTTCCCCTCAATTTCAAAAGAGTATTTGCATTTTAAGGTCAGGACTCAGGCAGTGTTGCAAGTCTAAAATGACTTCAGCTTTAGGAGGGAGGCTAGCAGAGGGTCAAGGGACATAAAAAAGTTATTGCTCATTGTGAAATGCCCTTTCAAATGCTCCTCGTACTCTGCTAAGTTTTGAGAGACTTTCATATTGGTTGACAGATTATATAATCTGCTCACTCACCAATAATGTTTTGGCATGGAGAGATTGTACAGGTATTTCTATTTGAGCCAGTCTCTAGTTAATAATCAATAGTCCTGTTGTCTAATGAAGTGATGGCCTTGACACCCTGGCCTTTGTGCAGTGTTAAAATAACATTGATCGCTATCATTATCATATGCCCTTGATATACTGAATAAGGACATGGATATCAATCTTAGAGCAAAGTAACATTTCATAAATCTTGTAGAAATAACCAGGATTGTCCAAACAGGCATATGCTTCTTGACAGCAATGTGACAGAGGAGTCTAAGACACAGATAATTTATAATTTATCTCTAAACTTTGATTGAAAAGAAAAACCCTCAAAAGTAGCATTTAGTACAAAGTATGTTTCTTCATGTGCCAAAAAGGACTACGGAGGCTTCTGATTTTCTTTTTTGGGGTAGATTACATTGGGAGAAATACTCCTATGGCACTTCTGGGGTGGAGAGAGGCAGAGCTGAAAAATTTCTCTTGGTTACTCCTTTCTGAACTTTATTTTAAATTTGTATTATGTTTCAACAACTTGCTCAATAGAAGTCATGGATTTGTGTGGAGAGGCCTTTAAGGCAGGGCAGGCTCTCACCGAACTGGGCTGAGGAACTAGGGAAGAAGGATTCATTTTTCCAACAGACCCTCTTCATCAGAATCTTGTATTTCAAACTTTTTCACTCTATTTGACATTTTTATCTATTCAAAACCAGTTTCTTATTGAGAAAGACTAATTATTCTTGTGATTATTCTGATTATTCTAGTATTAAGGGGTTAAATTATTCCTTATTGTTAGATAACAAATGATATCAAGAACATTGGATCAAAATTTCAAGAGAAAGTTATTTCTTTAGAAACATTACCCTTCTAAAATAATACACTAATGATTCATTGCCTTTGGTAGATACCTTTACCACAAATATAGTGAAACATTTGTTCAGAGACATAGGCCTTAAACTCAACATTTTTTCCAGTCCAGAATAGTTACTGAAAGTTGTGTGAAGATTCTGAGAATCAGGGTGTGAATAATTCACAGCAATTACTTTTATGTTACAGAATTATCCCTGCACAGTCAATAGAATTCCAGAATGGGTAAACAAGAAGAAAGAGTGCAACAATTCCTTGAAATTTGCTGAATTCTCAAATGGATAAACACATTTAAAGGAGACAAAAGAAGACAGGAGCCTTGACCAGGATGCAGGCAGATGAAACCGGTATGTTTTTATCATGAATTTATGAAGGTAAAGATGTTCTCATAAAAAACAAAACAAAACAAAACAAAAAACGCCAGTTTTGTTTTTTAAGACAAGAAGAGGTCTTGCTCATGAAAGGCCAAACTATTGGGTATACTATTGTGGGTTGTGTTTTGTGTATGTGTCTGCGCATGTGCACGTGTGTATTTTCAGTCTATCCATACGTGTAGCTCATATTACTGTTACTGAGGACATGCCCATTGACAGAGAAATGTAGCTCCATGTAATTGAATGTGGAATAGACGTTCTGTGAAAACTAGTTTTAATTGTAACATAATACATATAATATCAGCAGATATTTATTCTGGTTAGTAGTAATTGAAATTGAATTTAAAAATCCAAGTATAAAGCAATTATTGTCCCTTCTTAGAGTTCCTTCTTAAAAGATTGTTGTTTTAAGATTTTATCTACAAAGGTTTTGGATGTTACATTTCAAAAATAGAAAAATAAAAGGAGCACCAGGTCTTTCTTAAAAACCTCGGGGTGGGAGTGAATGCCCATGTGTAGATATTCAGTTGTTTGTAGCCTTGTTAGGCCCTCGTGCTTCATTAAATACACCTAAAAAGAAAACAACTTATATTTGGGCTTCAGTAGATTGCAGGAGGACACACACATGACTAAAGTCAGAAGCCATTTTTAATCACTGATTTGTTCCCCTTACAAAACAAAAAGGACGAGAGCCCTCGGCTATGTAAAACCTTTACTCACTAGTCTGCCAAAAATGTAAATATTTTAAAAAATATATTATTTACTAGGCAGGAAGCTTTCTGGGAGGCAGTGGGGTAGTGGAGGAACACAGATAAATGTGCCAGCCTCACGAGCTTTATGGCCACTCCAGGCCCAACTGTCATTCCTTCGGTACTTCCTGTCAGTCTGACTAAACTCTGTCATCCCTCAACCCGGTTTAAATTAACAGGTAATTTGTAAATGTCACTTCAGGTTAGGCCGCTCATTTTGTTTCTACTCTACCAATGCAAAGTCTAGGACTAATTTTTCTTGTCTTCTTTTAATAGGATTTTCATTTATAAATAGAATTATGTTCTGAAAATAAATTACAGTAAGTGATGCACAGAACGGGCGGCAGTGGCACTCTCATAGAATTTCAAGCACCTACATCAGAAGAGATTAATAAAAACACTTCAAAGGCTAAATTCTATTTAAGCAGAAGACAGCTTTTGGTTAATATTTAATCTGAGTAACTGAGATCTTGGTGGAAAATATAATTTTTTAATATCTAAATTAATTTTCAAAACAAAACTATTAATTTTGTTTGGAGAGTTTGTGCAGTGAGAAAGTTCCAGTAATATATTTGTAGAGGAAAAAGTTAATCAATTAATTTTGTAGTGAAAAAATAGCTTTTAATATTGTATTTGTTCTAAATGAATTTCTATTATTTGTTCAGGTGTAGTGGTTTAGGATTCTTTCTCCTAAGCCTTTTCCATTTCAGTAGGTAAAGGAGAAAGCTCTAGGGGAAAAATCTTGTTTTATAATAACTCTTCCGTGACTGCCATGCCCTTCACCTGGTTCTTTACACAAAAGGTCTCCTGCTAGAACCCTCTACCTGTCCACCCCTAGAGACTGCAAGGCTGACTCATAAGGTTTATCACACAGAAATCTTTTGGCATTGTCACTGTGGCAGGCCCCTTGCAATCATGGAATTTTTGCAGAGAGGAAAGTATGGTGAGAGATGTAGTGGGAAATCATGTCAGTTTGAAAGGAAAAATGAGAGACCTTGCACTCTAAGTCACATGAGAAATAGTCACCATATGTTAATTGATTGAGATAATGATATCCCTATCTATAGCATCTATATCTGCATCTGTATATGTACTTACATCTAGATTGTTGGTGGAACAATCAAGTTGATCATTTGTGCCATCTCATCAGTTCTGTCATTTACTAGCTTTGTGACTTTAGACAGATTCTTTGTAAGTTTATAATGACTTGGTAAATTTAATATCTACATCTGGTCTAATTTAACATGGTTTTATGCAGCTGACATACATTGTCCATGCGATAATCCTATTTTGATAGCTATAGACATAACCAAAACACAGCCTTTACTACTCTCCTAACCAGGAAGGAATACGGATGCACTGAGAAAGCTTTTGTCTTTTGTCTTTCTTGCCGCCAGGGTAACACCATTTTAACAGGAAGATAAAGGAAATATTTAATGCTTATGATCTGCTATTAGTTAAAAAGAAGCTCCAGGGTCAGACCGACTAGCTGTTCCAATACTGTTTCTCCTACCTTCTCCTACTCTGTCCTATTTTGCTAATATTCTTGAACTGTTTTCTTTGTGTTGATGAAGAGATATGGAGACAAAGAAATTCAAATTGTGTTTGATCCAAGCCTTCACCAAATTTCTTCTCTACCTCTTTTCTAATGTGTTTTGATGAACAAACGCATTGTGGGATTTTTAATTCCCCAAAGTAATTATCTTCTTACTGGACATAGACTTTTAATAATTAAAGTCATATGATCATATTATAAACATTTGGAAAATGGGAAAATTAGTACCCATACCTCTGCCATCCTAACACATTGCCATATTTCTTTCAAGTATTTTTTTCTATATGTCAGTTTTTAAATTCCAATGTAATTTTAATCAGTGTGTATATGATTTATAGCATTTTCTCTTAATGTGTCATTTCCTTTTCACATGTTTTTATATAGCTTTTATGGCAATCATATTTCTAAAAGAAAAGATTATTAATTAAAGCAAGTATAATCAGAACTCATTTAACAAATGCTCATATTACACTCATTTTGGAATGGTGACTTAGAAGAATATTTGTCTGTTGCATTTTGCTATTGATGACCAATTTTTCCCACTGACAACTAACATTTTATCTTTGAAAGGTGCCTCAGTGACCATGGCTCCATTAGCCCAGTCAGAGGCTTCTCTGCAAGGTGCCCACCTGATACAAGCGGGGCTCTGCATTCCCCATCAAACGCCTTTGACTAATGTTTGAGCTTGTTCATGTACCTAAGGCCTTCTCTTTGGTAGGTGATGTATGTCATGAAATATTTGGCTATGAAGTAACTCAAAAAGCAAAGGAAGAGAAAGTGAGTGAGAGACAGTGACAGAGCATCTTTTTTCCTTGTTGCCTCAAATAGAGAAAAGAGTACTCTTTGTGAGGGACTGTGTTAAATGCATGAAAGAGTGCTACTTTTACCCAGATTTTTTCTCTTTACTTTAAGAGCATTTTTACTTAAGGTTTTTCCTCTTAAGCCCTATTTTGAGAAAAAAAATGATGTAGAATATTAAGGTGGAAAGCTAGGAAAGGTGTGTTTTATTAATAAGTCTCTCAGTCATTATATTAGCTTCTAACGAATTACTCCCAATGAACAGTAGTGAATTGCTGTTGATATAGAAAAACAGAAGATTACTTACTCCCTTCTTAGACACACACACAGAGACACATGAACACACATGCTTAATTGAATAATTTCACTGTAAATTCTCATTAGGTTCAGAAGCATTATTAGAGGTGCTAATTGACCCCCACACCTATGAATAACTTGTCATTCTTTTTAAAAACTATAAATGATTTTCAAGTTTGCATTGAAATCATAAGTTAAAAAAACCAAAACCCCAAAGGCAAAATGGAGGGCTAGTGAGAGCCAATCCCACTCTGCCATTAGTTTACCATGCTAGCCTGTGGCAAATCATATTCTTCCCCTCTCCCCCACCGTATTCTTACTTATAGCTAGAGCTTATAGCTTCAGGAAACAATTGGTAAGGTAGAGATGCATCATTACCAGTCAAGCTTCATAAAATCTACTTTAAAATCCTTTGAAAAATATGAAGGATATATTTAAGAATAATATTAATTAAGTCTCAGGCAGTTTGCGTATGGTTTTTTTTTTTTTAAAAAAGATGCAATAAAAAAAGACCTGCTTCTTATTTACACAGGCCAGTACTTTGAAATTTCTCATGGCAGAAAGCAGTCCTTCATGCACATAACCTATGAATTATCCTTGAAATAAAATGTTTAATTACAGTTGACATTTCTGAACCCAATGCAGGTGGTGCCCATCTGAAGAGTGACATTGTTTACTACACTACAGGGCTCCAGGCCTAGTGTCAGAGATTATAAACCAATTTCCATCCCTGCTTTAATGCTGGTTTAATATCAGAAGAAGAACTTTACTGTGTAAATATTAAACATTTTGTTTAAATATTAAGTACCAAAGGTCTTTTCCTTTTGATTATTAAAACAGGAAGAGCCCCAACTTTGAAAGAGGTGCCTTGTTGTATTAAGAAAATGACTGGTTCCTTACCTTCAGGTTAATTATCACTGGCCAGAGATGCGTGCTAAGGCAAAATGTCAGTTGTCTGCTTGTGCCATTGTGAATCTTGGTCATTAAAAGGCAATAGCTGACCAGGTGTCTGCATGATGCTCATAATGAGCTTATTAAGAATTGTAGGTTTTTCTCTTATTCTTTCCCTAAGAAGTGAGGTCATGATTACTGACCACAAGAAATGATGTTTTCTTGCTGGGTGCAGGTAGAGCGGGATGGGGAATCTCAAAGAGATGACTCATGAGTAACCCAAGAGTAGCATTCACTGGATTTGATCATCATCGAACTACAAAGGAGCTAATCATTGAAGGGTTGACAAGAAGGGTCCATCGTAAAACATACGCTTGTTTGCCCAGCTAAGATTGAAATTAAACCAGGAAATTTATGAACACCTGACTTGCAGACAAATGCACAAGATGGATAAGAACTCTCCTCTGAGAGACTGCATCTTCTAAGTAATTGCTATGGGAGCTACTATGAGAATAGTCACAATTCCTCTCAATTATGAAAAAAATGAGTTATGCTCTTTAATTTATAGTACATAGGGTTTGTTAGCTTTGTATCCTTTTTCTTATTTATTGTCTTAAAATTCTGGAGTCAAACACTCTGTGTCTATTAAGCAGGTGTAAGAGATCCAGATGTTGTTCTTAAAT